GGAGCGACCTAGAGGAAGAAATTAGGAGGCTGACTCTGAAAAATGTGGAACTAGAAAAAAAAATTAGAGAACAAGTAGTACAGAGGAAACCAGAACACAAGAAAACGGAAAGCACACAAACCTACGAGAGAGAGAAAGAGGAGATACAAGAGATAATTGAAGATGGGGAGAAAAGTTTTCAAAGATACCTATAGAGAATTACTTAAAAAGAAGTGGAAGGAAAGGTACTATAAAAAAGTCAAGATAAAACGAAAGTCCGAAATTGGCTACGACTGGGACTTAGTTTTCCACACAGGAGATGACCATGACCTTAAAAACAGAACTGTTCCAAGGTGGAAGGAAAAATACCCGGTGCTTAGAGAGCTAGAAATTCCAGATGGGGAAGACTGGGAAGCTAGTTATTACGTGCAAACGAGTATAAAAGGAGAAAGAAGAGAACGGTATATAATTAAAACGATGAACATGCGCAGAAGCGGGCAAGAGTCGGAGGAAATATACAAACTAATGAGAAAAGTTAGAGAAATAGCGGAGGAGAACAAAAGAAACAAGATAGCTATAAATATGTGCGACAACAAGGAAGCAGAGGAAATCAGGAAGGCGGCAGAGTATATATATTCAGAGGTGCAAACATCGAAGTAGAAATGGTAACTCGACAACGCGCGGTAGACCTGAACAAACAGAGCAAAGACTACGGACCGGGGGATATAATACCGGGTGATTCATTAGAACTGATGATAGTTTGAATTTCCCGCAAAACACAAATTTTTAAAGGTTGGTAATAATAGATTATCATTTGCCTAATTCCAGTGGTGTATGTAGAATCACTCTCCAAGGAGTAATAATTTATTTTTAATTTACAAATAAGTCGTTATTAAATCAATCACAATAATTCCGTCGATTCTCATAATCAAGAGCGTGGCAGTTGCTGTAGAACAGAAACCCGGTACGGGTGTATGTATTCGTAGATCTTTATGCAAAATTCGTTGGCATGTTGCATAAGACACTCCTGTAATTCGAAAATAAAGTTAGTAGATATTTATTCTACGTGCACCACTTACCAGCCTGGGCACTTAACTGACGGATTGATTTTCTGGAACTCGCTTCCATTCTTTGTCTTCGACCACTTCATCGTTTCTTAGTAATGGATGACCTGTATTTCTTCTTTGCAAATGCAATTCTTGTTTTCAAATCGATCAACGATTCGTTTCTTATGATTGGCAAATGCTTTATAAGAAATAATAAGATCGGGACACTCTTCCTCGCCCGACATATGCAGAGGTGGCGACGGAGCCTACACCGGGGCCGAGTGGACAAAGGAAGAGAGTTGCGATACGCGAACCAATACATGAGTCAGAGAGAAGGATGGCAGAGGCGTAATGATTAAGGTTCTCCAGATCAATCTTAATAATAGTAGAGTGGCCTTGGACATGGCGGGGAAAGTAGGGGGTCTACCCAGCCCGCTGGAAAGCGAGCACACTGGTGCTATTACCTAAAAGTGGTGGGGGGCACAGGCCTATCTGCCTGACGGACTTTGCGGGGAAGGTAGTAGAGAAGGTTGGAGGATGTTATAGAACCCAAGCTGAGCCCTGCGCAATACGGCTTTAGGAAGGGGAGATCAACTGTCAAGGTCCTTAAGGCGATTATCAAGCAGGTGGCGGAAGCAAACGACGGAAGTTGGAGAACTCGAGAAGTTTGTCTGGTGGCATCTTTGGATGTGAAGAATGCCTTTAACTCTGCCTCACGGGAGGCTATTGTGGAGGCGCTGTGCGGTTTCGGGGTGCCGTAGCAGTTGGTGAGGCTGGTGCGAAGTTATTTGACAGGTAGAGTGGTGAGGGTGGTCAAACCGTCCGGGGGATTGCATGAGTTTGTTAATAGTGCGGGAGTGCCGCAGGGGTCGGTGCTGGGGCCCCTGCTGTGGAATGCCATGTATAACGGGGTGCTAAACGAGATACAGGAAAGTGGGGTGGTAATGGTTGCCTTCGCCGACGATTTGACGGTAATTGTGCGCGATAGGGAGCTGGAGAGGGCGAAACAGAAGATGTGTAGAGCTATAGAAAGGGTGGGAAGATGGATGGCAGGAAGGGGACTACAATTGGTGCCTCAGAAAACCAAATTGGCATTGCTTACGGGTAAGAGGCGGATACCGGTGGTTCGTTTGGAGGTCCTGGGACAGACGATCACATCCGAGGGCAAGATTAAGGTGCTGGGGGTGTGGATTGACAAAAATTTGTCATTCATCCCCCACGCACGGGAAGCAAGTGCGAAGGCCACGAGATTATATGGTGCGTTGAGTAAGATAATGCCAAATACCGGAAGAGCCCGGGCTAGCAAAAGAAAGGTGATGGGGACAGCTGCGCGGTCGGTGTTGCTCTACGCGGCGGAGGTATGGCACTCGGCTATTAGATGGGGAGTCGCGATGAAGTGTGTCAACAGGGTGTGGAGGTTGTTTGCAATAAGAATCTGCAGCGCATATAGAACTGTGCAGTGCGAGGACGTAATGGTTGTGGCGGGGACCTGCCCGGCCGAGGTTGCGATCGAGGCGAGAGGGATGAAGTGTGCGACAGAAAAAGTATACGAGGAGTGGCAGAAGAGGTGGGAGATGAGGACCTCGTGGACGAAAACTTTAATAAAAGACGTGCGTACGTGGTGTGATAAAGGCCACGGGGAGGTTGGATACTGTCTAACGCAATTTTTGACGGGCCACGGAGAGAATGGGCAGTACCTCAATAAGATAAAGAAGAGAACAAACGACAGATGTGTGGACTGTGACGAGGTGGATAGTCCGGGGCACGCAGTGCTACAGTGCGCGAGGTGGAGAGACGAAAGGGCTCGAGTGGAGAGGGAGATAAGCAATCGCCTGGAGGAGGAGAGCATCGTGGGCCACATGATAGAGGACGCTGAAAAGTGCCGTATAATAGCCGCGTACATAACTAAAGTCACAAGTACGAGGGAGCGTGAGGCACACGACAGGCAAAGGAACGGGTAGAGGCAGCGGTTACATCTAGGCGCAGTTTATCTGCGCCGGCCACCATGTAAGCCATACATATGGGCAAACCTAGCTACCAAGTGTTTAAGAGAGGGGATATACCCAGAAACATGGAAACGCTGCCGACTCGTATTGATACCAAAGGCAAATGGAGCGCTGAGGCCCATATGTCTGCTAGACTTCGCGGGCAAAATCCTAGAAAAGATAGTGAAGGCGAGGTTAGAAGAGCATATATCCACCAAAATATCCGACAGACAGTACGGATTCCGAAAAGGGCGCTCCACGTGGAATGCGCTTGCGACGCTCGATAACATAAGGATGGAAGCAGTAAGGGGCACGCACCGGACCAGAAAAGTATGTCTGATGGCGTCCATAGACGTCAAGAACGCCTTTAATTCGCTACCACATAGGACAATCATAAGGGCATTAGGAGAGATGGGGGTCCCGAGCTACCTACGGAGAGTCATAAGCAGCTACCTAGTGAGTCGGACAATAGAGGCACAAAAACCGGAAGGAGGAATATATACATTCAGCCCGGAGGCGGGTGTCCCACAGGGAGGAGTCCTGGGGCCCACCCTGTGGAATGTGGCCTATGACGGCGTCCTACGATTAGAAGTGCCAAATGGGGTGACGGTGGTGGGCTTCGCCGACGACATCACAATAATAGTAGAGGACAGAGCACTAGAAATAGCCACTAGCAAATTGGAAGTCACGGTAGAGAAGATCAACAGATGGATGGGGGAGAGGAACCTGCGAATAGTACCCGAAAAGACAAAGGTAGCCCTCCTGACCGGACGGAGAAGGTTGGGAGAGGTTACCCTAAAAATACTAGGCGAAGCGATCAAGGCGGAGAGAACGATCAAGATCCTGGGGGTAATAATAGACAAAAACGGGACATACCTGGAACACGTGAGACATGCAGTGAGCAAAGCCCTTAAAAGTTACACGGCGCTGGAAAGAATCATGCCAAATAGCGGAGGAGCGAGGGCTAGCAAAAGGAAAGTGCTTTCCAGTGCGGTCATATCAATCTTATTGTACTCCTGTGAGGTGTGGTATGGGGCGCTCGAGTGGCGATGTGCTAGGGAGTGGATAAACAAGGTACTTAGGCTACTGGCAATCAAATGCGTAAGCGCATATCGCACGGCACCTCTTGAGGATGTGCTAGTAGTCGCAGGGATCCCGCCAAGTGATATTCTAGTGAGCTCACGAGTAGGGAAGTGGGGGAAAGAAGAGCGATGTCTGCAGTGGCAACTTAGGTGGGACAGTAGAACGTCGTGGACCAAGACACTGATCCCAGACCCCAGAACGTGGCTGGGTCGCAGTCATGGCGAAGTGAACTACACTCTGTGCCAATTCCTCCTGGGCCACGGCGAAAATGGGGAGTATCTGGCAAAAATTGGGAAAAGAACATCCAACGAATGCGTCGACTGCGGGCTACAGGACGACAAAGCACATGCATTCTATGAATGCCCACGATGGCACGCGGAAAGAGAGCGCCTACAACGGGAGGTTGGAGAGCCGGTCACGCCACAAAATACTATTAAGCTGATGTGTGAAGAGGAAGTAAAATGGGACATAATACAGGCCTACTGCCATAACATTGTAAACACTAGGGAGCGAGAAGGTATGCGAAGCTAAGAGGATAAGTAAGACGTAAGACCCGCCATCAGACGAATGCCCAAGCGATACCTGATGGCGGTGAGCTTCCGCAAATGGGGAAGTGGTTTAGTGGGGGCAGGGCCCACACTACCTCCGCCGTAGACTCAGGCGGGGGTGTGCATTAGGCATTCCACCATCCCATTATGAGAGAGATTAAAAAAAAAAAAAAAAAAAAAAAAAAAAAAAAAAATTGGTAGGTTAGGGTTAGGTTAGGTTAGTCCTGGGACAGACGATTACATCCGAGGGCAAGATTAAGGTGCTGGGGGTGTGGATCGACAAAAATTTGTCATTCATCCCCCACGCACGGGAAGCAAGTGCGAAGGCCATGAGACTATACGGGGCGCTGAGTAAAATAATGCCAAATACCGGAGGGGTCCGGGCAAGCAAAAGAAGGGTGATGGCGTCGGCGGTCATGTCCGGACTGTTGTATGCGGCCGAGGCATGGCAGGCGGCAACGAAGTGGGCGAGTGCGATGGCCATCATGAACCGGGTGATCAGGCTGCTGGCAGTCCGGATATGTAGCGCATATAGGACGGTGCAGGCCGACGACGTCATGGTGGTGGCTGGTGGCTGGGATCTGTCCGGCGGAGGTCGCGGTGGAGGCGAGGGCAAAGAGGTGGGACAAAGAAAAGGTGTACGCGGAGTGGCAGGCGAGGGGGGAAAGGAGAAAATCATGGACGAAGACACTCATCCCGGAAGTGCGGGAGGGGTGCGAGAGGGGACACGGAGAGGTGGGATATTACGTAACGCAGTTTTTGACCGGACACGGGGAAAACAAAGTCTACTTGAAGAGAATGAAGAAGAGAGAGGACGACAGGTGCGAGGATTGCGGAGAATTAGACGTGCCGGGCCACGCGGTTTTGAGGTGCGTGCGCTGGGAGAGAGAGAGAGTGGCGGTAGAGATAGCGATCGGGGAGCGATTGGAAGAGACAAATGTGGTGAGGATAATGCTGAGGGAGAGCGAGAAGTGGGAGGCCGTGGCGAGGCTGGTACAGAACAGCGGTAGGACGAGGGAGAGAGAAGCCCGAGATCGGGAGCGAGGGCGGCGGTAACATCGCAGGCGTCTACCATTAGGCGCCGGCCGGCCATGGCAGCGAAGAATGCCGGAAGGTGATACCCGGCCATGGCATACCTGGCAGAGGAAAGGGTTTTAGGGGGTAACCCGTAAGGGAGTCCCCCACGCCCCCCGCTAAGACCGCAAGCGGGGGTAGTCCATTAAGGATTTCCTAAACCTCTATAAAAAAAAAAAAAAAAAAAAAAAAA